TTTTAATTTTAACTTTGCATGTACGTGTATATTGACATGGTTTACATATTTACTTACCAAACGCAAGTAAAAAATAAGGCCTGTTTAATTTAGCGAGTGAATCAATAAATTTGAAAATTTAAAAAATGCTTTTAAATCGATTAAAAAAAACAACCTTACCACCAAATGCAGATAATAACAAAGGTTTTCCACAAGCTTCTTGAATAACTTTTGGCCAATTTTCTTTAATTTAAATTAAAAAAAAATCTTTTGGAATCAAAATAATTATGTGATTAATATTAATTAGATATAATACATACTCATATCGTAACAATTTTCTACGGTGGAATAATCAATTTCCATATTATTTTCATCATCCTCTTCATTATCACTCAAAGTATTTTGAGGTTTGTTGACAAAGTAACGTGACAATCTTAACTCATCTAAGGTTTTAGAATCATCCCAGAATTCCTTTCCAGGAATCAAGGCATTCATTACTGGAGAATGAATACATGAGTTGATGATACGAAGTGAAGATTTACTGAGCATTTTCTAATATAGTGGGTACAGATGATTGTTTAGTTTTTATGTTTAAAGAACAGTAAATCTTATTAAAGAATTAAAAATTAAAATAAATAATAGATTAAATACTTTTTCATAAACAATTTCCTTTGGCTTAACTTGCATGATCAATGTTTCAAAATGAGTTCGATCAATATCATCTTGGAATGACGTGAAATTAAATTCTGCAATTGAGGTATCAACAAAGCAAATTCCAAAGCTTGGAAGACTATTTTCAGTAGGACAATGTTCCTAAAATAAATATCTTATTAATAATAGTATAATATAAAATAAATGATTCAAACTTATAAGCAATCAAATTATTATCGTTGCTACCTTAATTGACATACAATATGTTGACATATCATTGGTCAATAATCCACCATCTACAACAGTACCGGCAGTAAAAATTGACGTAAGTTGACGACGAATTATTTTATCCTCCTGTAAATTATTATTTTTTTAATATACATATGTATATACACACACTATAACAATAATTTTCAGTTAATTTGCAAAAACTACCTTGGTTTTGGTAGCCTTTTCTCTCATTTCCTTGCCAAGAGCAGTTTCCATTTGATCTACTTTAGCAACTTTATGACTAGATACAAAAAAATTTTCATAATTATAAATAATGTGAGCATTAATTTATCCTCAATAAAAATTTTAAATAACTAACCTTTTAGCAATAAATTTTGCAGCCCAATGTTCAATTGATGCCTCAGGGACACCAACCATACACATATTGACACGTGTAGTTAGTTTCAAGTCAAATTCAGAATGACCTATAAGAGCATCACGTTCATATAATTCTATGGAAAGATTCGATTTAAAATATAAGTATACAAATTAATATAATCAATCAATTACAAATAATCCTCGGCACATAAAATTATTATTATTTACCATAAAATTTCAACTGGTCTAAAAGATGAATTGATTCTAACTGGTAATGATTTAGAAAATGTCTCGCAATCAGGTAAATAAATAAATAAATCTTTAATTAATAATTGTCAATTTTTTTTGTTGATGCACCTTGAAATATTAATTAATATATATCATTATTTTGAAAAGCTGCTGATATTCAACAATCAACCACTGTTAAAAATAAAGATATTAGGAAATTTTTGGATGGTGTTTATGTTAGTGAACGCAGTACAGCAGTAAAAGACCAAAATTAATTAATTATTTTTAAAAATAAATTATTTCCTTAATTTTTGTAATCAAATAAATACTAAAGAATTAAGGGAAGAATTAATAATGCTTGATGTCACATGACTGCTAGATGTTCATTCACTCAAAATAATCTTTTCGTCAAACTCTTTACTGTTCCACCATTTTAATTCAGAACGCGAATTAACACGTCTTTTTTACTTTTTATTATTTTTTTGATAAAATAAATATCAAACATATAAAATTTGTTGCATACTTGTATATGTAAATATGCCACAGCAAACTAAGAATTCTAAAAAGTTCGTTACTCCAGTTAAAGGTACTCAAACTTCTCTTTGGTCCTTTATCAAGAAGGAGCTGCCTTCTCCAGCTACTGATTCCGAGACTCAAGATTATAATAAGCTATCAGACGACACAAAACTGTCTGATGACCCCATGACTCCAAAGTCAATGAAATCAAGGGCAGTTAAGAAAGGCGCAGAAGTTTTTATGCAAGAAGCTGAAGAGAAAGAGGGTAGTAGCGGCGAGCTGGAAGGCTTAGAACTTGATACGCCTGTATTAGGAAATAGAATTTTGAGGGTTATTATTATTTTTTATAGATAATAAAATTGATGCATTGATGTATTGTATTGAGATAAATTTATTCACGTTTTTTTTTTATATAGAGAAATAGTAAAGCTTTTAAACGAAGACTTATTTTTTCATCTGGCGAAGAGGATAACGAAGATGAAAATGATATAAACTTTATTGAATCACCTTGTATGATTGCATTTTATTAAATTATTAATCACATATTATTTGTTCTAATTTCTAAAGCTAAAGATTTTATCTCAAACATTAGTAAAAAATAAAACAATTTCCCAGCGTAAAAAATCTAGAAAAGCCAATAATAAAAATGATGAAGA